TACTATGTGGAAGCTGAAAAGATAGATATTTATCGGAAAGGAGAATGAGAGACACAAATGTGGGAACTGTCACATTGACATAAAGGCCTAATCAGCAAATAAAAATTAGATACGAATTTTTTTCCAATTCTTGTTGGAGATGTTAGATCCCCGCTAATTTTGTATCTTATGTTTTCGAGCATGGGATGATCAGTTGACCGTGAGATCACATTTCTCACCCGGAAAATCCTTGGCTGTGATTGGTTGCTGTGAACTTTAGTGTGCTATTTTTGTAGCTGTCCCGAGGCCGTTTCTATGATGTATAAAGAAACGCAATTTGTGTGCTTGAATGCATTGTGCTTGTTGGATGTTTATAGAATATACTTTCTACGCTATATCAAAACTTCTCGTTAGCTTTTTTGGGGTCAACGGATCAGAGTAGCCTAACTGAAACCTGGTTCATTGTTTCGTTCTCGTTATCGACTAAGGTGAACCCGTAATAGTTTCAAGCATACTTATTACCGATCATTACAACTCTCAGGAGATGTAATTGCAGTGTTCAATCATTTGAATGTCAGAAGTTCATGTGAATTTTCAAATAAATTACTTGACGATTATACCCGTGCTGAAAAGTTATGATCATTGAGTCTGGTTACTGAATATTATAGTAAGTAGTATAAGATATAACGGAAAAAATATGAAGGTTACAAAGATTGTGAACAAAATTAACGATATGTTTTGAACCAAATCAATGTATATTTATAAATTTAGTTTACATGTCACACGAAAGCTAAAAAAATCCACAACCTTTCAAACTCAGCGAGACATAGATTTATGGAGGTCGTTTAGTTTCAATGAAATAATGAAGTGATCGTTTTTAGACGACTATTAGAAACCTAAGAGCACTGAAATTTTGTTTCAGTCAGTACTTTCAGGTTTCCGATAGTAGTAAAACAATGAGCAGTTCATTACTTCGGGAAAATGAATTTAATAGTTAATTCACATGTGAAAATACAAGAGTTATGAACCTTGACTCTGAAGCTCTTAATTACTAACAATTCTCCATAACTCCCAATTAATTTTACACTTCCCATCTCAGTTACTCCGAAGTAGAAAGCCAGTTAATTGTTTCATGCATCAAAACCCTGAATCGATCAGTGTTGGACCAACAGCATTAGAAACCTGGAAGCACTGAAAGACGGCCGTTTCCTCCTGGTATGGGATTCATCAGTGGCAGTGCGCATCCACGACTCCTGCACCTCACAGGGTTCGAACCCAGAACCTTCGGTATTGTGCGCAAACGCCTAACCATTGGACCACTGAGCCGGTATCTAACGGTGTTACTGTCTAACTTGATCAATTCACGGAGTTGCGCAACCTCATACACAGTCTTCGGCAGTAGTCACTGTCTACACCCGAACAGGTTGAACTTCACTGGTCACGTCTTCCCACTAGAACTCGGAGAAAATGTCTCACGAAGCTAGTCACTAGTGAGCACATGTAATTTGCAATACGGGGTTGTGAAGATTGTTATGTTACACATTTTTTGAAACCATGAATCGATCAATGTGTTTGAATGTATAGATATTAAGGACAACAATACAGTCGGTATATACAAAAGATTACTCACCACTTGAATGAATAATATTAGTCCAGATATTAGAATAAACTCACATTGACTTAAGCGAATTGTTGCGATCTCGTTTCATATACAAATCAGTTCCAAAATAACTTGTCAATGCATAATTACCTTGATATGCTTGAAAATATTACGAGTTCACCTTACTCGGTAAATGAAAGTGAAGACAAGTGATCCAGTGACACGATAGGCTATATCAAATCTGTTGTTCTACGCCCTGATAGCAATATCAAGAAGTCTTGATATGGCATAGAAAGTGTATTCGACAATCGAGGTTGACAAGCACACACACGTCCTTGGAAGGGCCACAAAAATAGCGTACTAAAATAATGCATCAATCAATAACAGTCAAGGATTTTCCGGTTGGGAAATGTAATCTTGAGGTCAACTAATCAACCCCTGCTCGAAAACATAAAATCCAAAATTTGGACATTTATAAAGTGAGTTCTTGGGATCTAACGTCGCCAACACACTTGTACACTCTTGATTCGCAGTTGGTTGAATTACGAAATGATTAAGGTTGAGCTCTTGCAAAATATGATCTAAATCTAGATCTTTATTCATAAAAAAAAATGACAGATTAGACATTTAATTACTAAACAGTAATAAGTTCAATGTATACTACTAATACGAAATAAAGTAGGCTCACGATTTATATGTTAAAAACTCATAATTTCCATTAGTTTAAGTAGTTTTATTTCGGTTGCATTCAGAATGAAAGGTCAACATTGACAATAAAGTTATCGCATAAATGAAATGTCTTTTCATCGAATAGACAACTAAAAAAAACAATATTCCTTTCATAAAACACGTTCAACTGATTAAAGAGAACAACGGAAGGTGTATAATTACTCTTCAGTCTGTGTGACATCGGTTGATTTAGTCTTTTTAAAGGATTATGACAGCTGTCTGAGATCATTATGTTTAAAAGTGGTAGTCATTTAATGTTCAGTCGAAAAAATATTGAACTTCACCAAAGTTTTGTTATTAATTAAAACAATAATGTAATTGGTTGAAATTAGAAATAAACACCATTGGATGCCGACTCAGGGGTCTAGAAGTTGAGTGTTCGCACGCGAAACTGAATGTCCTGGGTTCGATTCCCGCGTGCAGGGGTCGTAGATGCTCAGTGTTGATGAGCCTTGTACTAGGAAGAAACGGCCGTTCAATGCTTTTAGGTTTCTAGTGGTGATCTGAAATTTATCAGTTCATGACTACGATGAAACTCGACAATCTCCATAATCCTGTAATGAAAATATAACACAGTGATTTGTTCAACTATACTTAATGTCACCAGAGATTGAATGGAACTTAGTCTTCAGTACAGTGATCAAAAGCTTTGATAAAGGTCACATAATGAGTTAGGTTTAGGAATGATAGATAATCTCGAATAAGATCATTACATTAGTTGTATGTGTTGAAAGTTTCTAAGAACTTTGTCATCAGACAACGAATATCCTAACTTTAGTAAACATCAGTTAATCAAAAATTTAAATCTATGATATGCTTGCAGCTGTTACGAGTTCACCTTACTCGGTAAACGGAATGAAGATCAATGATTCAGCTACACTAGAGGCTATTCTAATGTGATAGTCCTAGGCCCCACTAACTAGATGAAGAATTCTTGATAAGACGTCGATAAATGTATTCCACAGGTATCCAAAAAAGTCCGAAGTCAACAAGCACATAACTCAAGCTTATTTATACAATGACAAAACGCCGTCGGTGAGAGCCACAGTATAGCGTACTAAAATATTCTATCAACCAATGACAAACAGAGATTTCCCAAGAGGGAAATGCAAGCTGAAGGTCAAAATAAGCTTCTTCAGCGCGAAAATATAGAATTCAAATTCTCAAGATAAAATTACAAAATTAAAACCTTTTTCTAAGTGAGTTCTGGGGATCTAAAGTCCACAACGATATATATACACATTTCCCTTTTTATATTGTTAGGATATTCATCCAATATCCTAAGAGATTTATTGGTCAAATCCTATTGGTCGATTTCTGTTGGTCAAAATTATGGTCGTTTTAACTGTCAAAGTCAAATACTTCAATGTTGTCTCTTATTGGTCATCGGGACTGTCCATGTCATTTCAAATGTTACTTCCTACTGGTCGTCTTAACTGTCAGTGCCACAGAAACCGATGCTGTTTCCTATTCGACTTAAATGTGTAAATACGCATTATCTGTAACATTTTGTGACCATGACCAGGACCAGGTCTCTTTCCCGGATCCCTAGTCCGGGATACTGATTCTGTTCTGGATTCGGGCCTCGAACATTCTGGATGCTTGTAGAAAACAGGTTCTAATTCATATCACGTCTTCTTATTTTGGGTGGTGGTTGGGATAATTGGATTTGAGTAGTATGTCGTGTCACCGGATCCTTGATCCTCGCTCTCGTTTTCCAACTAGGTAAACTCGTAATAGCATTCAAGTATTTCAAGTTGACGTGTTTACGTGCAGGCGTAACACAAATAAGCAGTTAATTTTACTTGCTTTTGAAATATGAAAAATTAAGTAGATTCCTACTAGATGGTTTCATTGAAATCATGAATCGATCATTGTCAAACCATCATTAAGAAGCTGCAAGCATTGAACGAACGTTTCATGCTAATATGGCACTCATCAGTAGTGAACGTCAATGACTTCTACTCGCGAGAATCAAACCGAGGATCTACGTTTTCGCGCAATCATGTGAAGCCTACATCCATTGGCGTTCATGTCTAACTGAGTGTTCTCATTTATTGTGTTCAGTGAGGAGTAACTGTCTCACACCCTACACGGTTAAACTTCACTATATCTCTGAGAATTTCTTCACGAAACTAGTCATCAACTAGCCATCAACATTTCAATTACAATATTTAAAATGAATTAGGCTTTTCAATAAAATAAGAAATCCAGCAAACAATTTACCATTAGAATAATTCAAATTTCAATATTCAAAGTGTTAAAAACATTTAACTTTTCAATGTGCTACTTTCAAAAAACACAAAGAAATCACAACAACAATGATAAAAATAGTAATAATTTGTTTTTATGCGTGGAATGAAACTAGAATTATGTTTGTTTGCAACAACATTGAACAATGGTCGGATGTTGTTTACAATCCGGGTTTAATTATTGTACATTTAACAATAGTGTTAAATGTACAATAAGCATCATACATACATTTATGTGGTTCATTACAAGAAAAATACAAAAACAATCTTATTATATAATTGTGACAACAACAACACACATGAAGAAATTTGTTTTTATTAAATTTTGATTTTGTTTAAATTAGTATTTAGTTGATTGCAGAAAAAAAAATTTGAATTCAATTTGAATTCAATAGAGATGCCTACCTAACAAGTTGATTGACTTTTAGTGAAATGAATTTATGGTTGATTTGCATTTCAAGAGTTTAAGAGTTACTGATATAACTATGAATACTACTTATGCTAATACTATTCACACTACTACTACTACTACTACTACTACTACTACTACTACTACTACTACTACTACTACTACTACTACTACTACTACTACTACTACTACTACTACTACTACTACTACTACTGTGGTGTGAGCTACTTGTAAGTAGTATATGACACGAGTGTAACTTAATGTCTGGCAGCGGGAGATGGGGAAAGATCAAGAAAGGAAGAGTTAGAAAACAATGGGATTTGTATGAAACGCATGAATAGTGACAATGGATTGATGTTGTTTGCAACAGGAACAGTCCAGTTCGATAGGATGAACTGATCTTTTGCAAATGAACAATTTACGATATGGTTTTCCGATTTTACTGAGTAACTCTGTAATTTTCGTTAAATACAATTCGGTTGCCCCACCTGTGTTCTCATTCACTACAGTAGTAGTAGTGGTAGAAGTAGTTTGAGGTGTAGTAGTAGTGGTAGCGTGGTAGGGGGGCAACCGAATTGTATTTAACGAAAATTACAGAGTTACTCAGTAAAATCGGACAACCATATCGTAAATCGTTCATTTGCAAAAGATCAGTTCATCCTATCGAACTGGACTGTTCCTGTTGCAAACAACATCAATCCATTGTCACTATTCATGCGTTTCATACAAATTCCATTGTTTTCTCACTCTTCCTTTCTTGATCTTCCCCCATATCATGCTACCAGACTTTACGTTGACACTCACGTTATATACTACTTATAAGTAGTTCGCACCACAGCACCACACTACTACTACTACTACTACTCCCACCACTACTACTATTACTACTACATCTGCTGCTACTACTGCTACTACTACTACTACTACTACTACTACTACTACTACTACTACCACTCGTACTACTACTTCTGCTAATACTACTACGGCTACTACTCACGCTACAACTACTATTGCCACTACTACTCACACTACTACTACTACTACTTACACTACTACTACTCACACTTCTACTACTACTAATACTACTACTCATACTACTGCTACTACTACCACTGTATCATAAGATGGAGCAATCGGTTTGTATGAAGTCGATACATTTGACAAGCCAAAATGTGCACACCTCATCATAACGCATCCATCTGGTAAGCAAGTCTGGTCTTGATTGTCTTCTCTCATATGTCTTTAATTCTTCAAAACATTCTGATCGCCCGGCATATTCGGATAGAACACTATTCGCTTTGGTCTTAAATTCAAGGCGAAACTCTGCTGTGCACTACTTATTAGCTGCGCTGTAAGTAATACACACTAGACTCCTACTATTATTGTTATTACAAATACGAAATGACTTAGATTAGGCATCTCAATCAACATTGAGTAATCGCCACAGCTCTATTGAGAGGCTGTGACTTGTCGAGTTTAACCATAATGGGTTTGAGGGAGGTAGCCACTGAAGACAACAGAAGTTGATCACACAGTACTGCGAAATGAATAAAATAGATTGTAGGATCTTTTCTGGCTTAGTTAATGGTCTGAAGAATAAATGTTTGTTTGTGATACGAAAACTCTTAGGTTCAATCAACTGCGATAGTCTTATGGGTGCACACTACTCAAAAGTTCTATACTAGTGTGGCGATGTAAATTCTCGCTGCCTACACAAAGGATGAAGATTCCATGGCCGAAGGAGTTTGAGGCCGTGGCGAAGCTGGTGGGGGTGAAGGAACCGAAGGCGAAGTTGGTGGTGCTGGGGACGCTGCTCACAGGAAGGGCGAAGGCCGTAAATGACAGCTTGGACGGTGCTGGCGGAAAGACGCCATGGGAGACGGTCATTGAGCGGCTGATGGCCGAGTTATGTATATATACACTGATGTATATATAGGAAAATGAATGAGTTACCAAATTATTATTTAAATGACTAACATACGAGCTAGTAGAATTGAATCGTTTGTAAATATGACTGATTCCAGCAAGGATTACATTCAAATAATATTTATTCTTGTATCTGTTTTAATTATTTTGTTTGGTTGAAAATTGTTGAGGTTTCTTATATGCATAGTTATCACCCTATGTACACTGATGTTTCCAAAGAAATTTTTAAGCTGACCCAGTAGATATCTGGTTGACTCAATATACAGCGTTTTTAAGTCAGGACAGTATATGAAAGAAGTTGAATGAGCCTAAATAATTGATGATTGTAGTCTTTTGCATGTCGCTTAAAGCTATCGGTAATTAGTGAGTGATAAGGTCTAACTAAACCAGCTTCCGAGAATATATGCTTTCTTAAGTCGTAAGTATGCTGGAATCAGTTTCTTTCCTATGAAGTGGGGCTGTTTACAAACATTAAACGATATGTTTCTCATCTGTACTTACTTACTTACTTACTTACGCCTGTTAACACCAATGGAGGATAGGTCGCCGACCAGTATTATCCAACCTATATTTATTCATTCTTTTCATGTCTGTCTCTGTTTTTTGGTGTAGTGTGTTTCGTGGCTTTCATCTTTTCCTTTGACCTTGAGGGTTGCAAGGGGGGACTTGTCTTTTGAGGCCCTAATTACACTGCTTTTTCTTGATTTCCTCTTCCTCTGGAATACGGTTTGTCCTTTCCCACAGTAGGTTGTTGCTAATGGTGTCTGGCCAATGCATTTGAAGTATTTTACGTAGACAACTGCCAATAAACATGTGTACCTTCTGGATGATGGCCTTGGTAGTTTTCCAAGATTTCTTCCCATACAGTAGAACTGTCTTGGCATTTGTATTGAAAATTCTGTGAGTTTTACCAAAAATATGTAGACGGGAAATAAAATGGGCGCTCATTTTCAAATACTTTAGAATAGTTTTCATACTGAGAAACGGAATATCCAGGCAATTATGGTGACAACTACTACTAATCATTCTGTTGGTGGCATTGTCTTTGTAGCTTACAGGATATGGGTATAGAAGTAAGCCTAATACCAGTAGTATTAACTCACTAATGAGTAAAAGAGGTAGACATCTTATTCGAGTAATTATCGTAGATGATGTTCGTTGAGCTATATTTAGCTCAGATTTTCAAACTGAGTATAACTTGCTTTATAATGCAAATAAATCAAACCTAATTGATTCTTAAACTGAAATGAAGTTTCGTGGAATTCACTGAAACTTCTCTGTAGAAAACACCAAGATAGACATTTCAGCAAACGACAAGTTAATGGATTTCGAGACATTACGAAGCTCTCTCACTATTCTGTTCGGCTTAACATCATAACTGAAGGTTAACTAGTGAAGGTGCGTTGTCTCTGACCACCCTCTGACAAACTACCAGTAGCCGAAACAAAATTCAACCTTACGGTGTACTTATAAATTATCGGAATTTCCATCAGTTATTGAGCATCTCTGTTATATACAGATGTTAAGAAAACAATGCACTGAGTGTCCTTGTAGTGATTATCACGTACAGACAACGTCGTTATAGTAAACAGTTTAGAGTTTGTTAAAACAGATGAACTGACAAAGGAAACTTCTGTTAAACATGCGTCAGAAAATTTTATTTTGTGTAATTCTTCTAGTGCTGAGAGCAAACAGTTATTGTCATGCAGAATGTATGCGCATGCGGGTGCAATGCGTTGTTCACTTCCTAGTTCAGGGCAAGTTTTGAATTACCTCGACTTTTTCTCATTCACTATAAGAAACAAAACATAATATCAAATTGAAATAGTAGATCTGTTCAATGTACCATTGGAAATGGAACTAACAAATGTAACCAAGTTGTTAAATAATTCAACGAGTTGAAAGGTTCTACAATTTTTACAGGTTTTTGGACCTAAAAGTGATTTCTTATGAAAACCAGATAAAAATTTCTGTGATCACAACTGTGTATATTGTCGACTTAAGTCTAATAATCTTTTGTAGTTGATCAGTAAAATTAATTTACTATCTGGTGACTTTACACCAACGCCTTTTTCTTCAAGTATGTCTACTTACACATGTTATCCCCTAGTGGAGGCAAAGGCCATCTGGAGTTCCTCTTGGTCTACCGCCGGTCTCAAGCCTGAATGAAGAAAGAGGGTTAGGCATGTGAGTTAAGTGACCCTTATGCTGTAGAAAACTAACTAAAATTTAATATCAGTTTGGTAGTTACTATTATCCAAGGATTGTTTTTACATGTTCACTAGTGACTAGCTGCTGCATGAGGAAGTTTCTACGATTTTTAGTTGGAAGGTGTGACTGGTGGATTGATGTCAGCCCGCTCAGTGGTCTAGAGCTTAAGCGTTCGCGCGTAAGACCGAAGGTCCTGCCTACGATTACTTCGGGTAGCAGGAATCATGGATGCACACTGCTGATTAGTGTCATACTAGGACTAAACGAGTGTCCAATGCTTTGAGGTTGTTTATATCAACCCATGTACATTTGAGTCAAGCCCCATTTCATTAACCTATTTAACGGACACTGTCATATTGGTATAGCAAAAACTTAACTGTACGATTGTGCATATATTATACTGTCGCATTTATACAAGCATTTAGGCTTGAGCATCGCCTACGGCCTACACACATATTCATTCTACTCACTTGAATGTTAGCCTCTCAGGCAATTTGATTACTAATTCATTATCCTATGTATATACATGTACATTTTAATCCTAGGTATTCGCCAACTCACTAACTCGCTCGCTAGCTCGCTTGCTTGCTTTTCAGCGCTTGGATAACATTTTCGTTTCGTCTGCCTGCGGTTTTGGTGATCCAACTTATAAACCATTGGGCGTTATCTAGTAACAGTTATTAGGACAAGTGATTTACGAAGTCTAAGGTGTTATATGGAATATTGATTGCCATAGAATTGGTGAGCCCGACTATGAACATAACGCAGCCCACAATGTTTGATTAGTGAGTGATTTTTGTTCCATCGAAGTACAAAAATATCAGTTACATCGTATAAGTTTTGATGCTTCTATTTGTCATTAGCGTATGTGGGACAGCATTGTTGGGGAACTCACTTGATAAAATGGCCTAATTTTGGATTTTCCATGTTTTCGCGCATAGGCTGATCAGTTGACCTTGAGATGATATTTCTCACTCGCAAAATCCTTGACTGTTATTGGTTGATGTATTATTTTAGTACGCTATTTTTGTGGCTCTTTCAAGGACGTTTCTGTCATGTGTGCTTGTCAACCTCATATTTTCTGTG